AGAAAATCGTGGCTTTGATTCCTTGGTCACCTAGGGATACAGTAGAAGCATTTTCATCTCATTTCAATAATGTATTCATGAAATCTATGCTTTTGGCTCTTTCACTCGTAAACAACGCATATCGCTGCCCAATCAACTAACACGTTCAAAGTCTCGTCGCGGGATTTTGCCAAGCTGCAGACGTCTGACTTTATGTCGCTGACAGTTGGACACGGTTGTCGGTCAGAATGAAGACGCAGTTTCGGTTTCTGTAATCAGTTCGCTTCTTGACCAACACTCAGAGACGAACGAATGCAAGACTATTGCATTTGTGTCTAATCCCAGTTGTGACGTCGCTTTCGACGCACGGTGAATCTGACCAGCTGCAAATGAGTTGCCCCAATGATTTTCATAAATCTTTTTTGATGTTAACACTACTGATCCATTTCAGCAAAGGCAGTATTTCAATCACAACCTTTCCTGCTTTTGCGTGTTCCCTTGTTATCAAGGCAAAGGATACGGCACATTTATCGTGGACCTCAGTAAGATATCAATTCTAAATTTTGTTCAATCAATTTGTTGAATGCTGCGAGTAGGTGAATAAGTTTTGTTGAATAATTCTTCAGTTCTTGTGCTGCTTTGGAAATGATGTTTAGCTCTTATTGAAAAAAAGGAGTCTTATTCTGTGTAATGAAAAAAGGCTCTTTAGGTTATTTGCTCTCGCGATTGAGTGGACTGCCCGGTGGACCTGAGCGACCATTTTCGATCCAAGGTGGTCAAGTTTACAAGAAGTATTGGTGCAACAGGTTGCTCCACCTTATTTTTACCAAAGCGCAACTGTTTGGATGGGATAACATGCGTTTGGATATTGGAGGTAACTGTGGCGTAGATACTCGAAATATTTGTTGATAAGCTTAGCACTCCTGTTTTTTGTGTGCAGATCTTTCCAGGGAGACGGGAATCCAGGAAGCAGAGGTTCTAGAAGCCTTGACTGGTCTTTGCAACTCCGAATGGTCAAGGTTCCTTAATTTCTCACTGAAATGAGGGTATTTCTAGTTCTATCTGATTTTTGTTGACAGGAACAACAGATCGCTCATAATTAAAATCAGTGAGAGTGCTGTGATGGAAATTGGAAAGTACATAGCAGAAAAGAACCGGTCGAGATTATTAGCAAAGGAAGAGTGTTTGGATCCAACCTTTAAGGCGAGTATCTGCAGTTTTTCTAGAGGGTCAGGTCAAATCATCACTCAAGTGTCAATTCATAGTGTTCAATTCCGCCAAAATCGGGTAACTAATTACATTATTTTCAGGAGAAACTCAAACTCTGTGCAGCGGAAATGAATCTAACATAATGGTAATATGTAGATACGCTCTAGCAAATGTGTGATACCTGGATTATGGTTTCTTAGAATTAATCCTTTTATTTCATTTTTTTCTACTAGTCTTATGACATTGTTTTCACTCACTCACTTCCATTTTTGCTTTACTTTTCTGTTGTTTGAATTAACAATGACACAAGCCATACGGCACACGGCATCGGTACTGCAGATCTCATAGGTATTTGGTGCTGATTTCTTGCAGTTTAGATAGAACCAAAGAGGTTCTCGTGACCATTTTATACACAAAAAAAACGGTCAAAAAAGAGGAAGTTACGTGAGGTTCCTCAGATGAAACTGCTTACGGAAGCACTGCTGTGATGATAGGGTGTCAATTTATACATATACCAGGCGCATCGCCGGCTGACGCTGGCTCTGCTCTTCCTGGGTGGAATGCCCGGCTGGCGCCGCGATTCTCCCATCGGCACGCCATGTAAGCGGGCCCCCAGAAAAAAAACCATTGGTTCAGATCACTTCCTCCCCCACCCCGGTTTGTGTTGGTTCTTTTTTTTTACCGCGTACTCATCACCAAATTCATACCGTGCCACCTTCGTCAGTTCTTGGGGCAATGGACTCCTTTATTATTTGAGTATGTGAGTTTCACAATTTAGGCATGTAGAGTTAAGCTTCTCCACGACGTTATCTTGCCATCATTCCCCATTAGAAAGGAATATTATTCCTACTAATGGGGAATGATGGCAAGATAACGTCGTGGAAAGCTTAACTCTACATGCCTAAATTGTGAAACTCACATACTCAAATAATAAAGGAGTCCATCGCCCCAAGAACTGACGAAGGTGGCACGCTATGAATTTGGTGATGAGTACGCGGTAAAAAAAGAACCAACACAAACCGGGGTGGGGGGAGGGAGGTGATCTGAACCGATGTGCGCTATACGGCGTGTGCCGATGGGAGGAATGCCCGGCGCCAGCCGGGCATTCCGACCCCAGGAAGGAGCAGAGCCCGGCGTAGCCGGGCGATGCGACTGGTTTTGAAAACAAATCACGAAATTTCTGTTGAAAGCCCCAATTTTGGTCCGCGCTACGCACACCGATAACGGGTGAGTTTCCTTCCTCGCTGGAGTCTAACTACTCCTTCACCTACTTGAAACCTCTCACAAACAAATCATAAAGTTTCTGAGAAAACTCCGCCACTTGGTACTACGCCCAACATCAACATTTAGCCTTCCCTCTCACTCTTACTTCTCTACGCTCTCCTCTCCTTATGGGAACTCTCCGATTTGGAGATTGAAGGCAAAATCGCCCACTTTCGGCGGTCCGTACCCTCCCTTCCTTTGCTAGGATACTACTACCTCTTTACCGGTTTCTGAGACTTATCGGAACCAAATTATAAAATTTCCTGGCAAACTCCGCGCCCTTCAGTACGCGCCACACCCACCATCAACATGAAGCTTCCCCCCCCCCATCTCTGGCTTTTATCCACCCCCATCTCTGGCTTTTATCCATTTGCCTTTCTCTTATGGGGCTTCTCCGGATTTTAATGTTTCGCGGCGAACTCACCCACTTCCAGCGCCTCAGCGCACCGATATCGGGTAATGTACCGGGTTCTGGATCTCTCGGGACCAAATTATGAAATTCCTGGCAAACTCCGCGCACTGTGCGCGCCACGCTTGCCATCGAAATTCAATTTCCCTCCTTACTCTGACCTCTATCTACTTTTTCCCTCTTTCTGGGACCTCCCGGGCGAGCTGACTTCTCAGAACCGAACGATTATCTGGGTGGCAACTTTGGAGCCCACTTTGGTGTACAGTTTCACGCTCGTCGCGAAATTGAACCTCCCCTTCCTACTCAACATCCATCCACTTCTTTCCACTCTCTCTGGGACTTTTCTAAAGCTCTTATGTGCTGAAAAAAGCTTGGGTATTAACCGATTTTTCTGCTGTAGGCTTTTTTTAGTTATTATGAGGGGACGCTTTGCCCACCACTATCAAATCTCCCTGGTTCGACATGATAGCTTAGTGCGCACCTTTACCCACTTTTTCTTGTCTTTGGGTTGCTCTGCGACCGAATTAATATTTGCTGTTGGCCCTTCCTGATTCTTCGCATGCCCCGTCTATTGAAATAAAAGCTCCGCCTGGTTAATGCAACACTCCCAGCAGGCAAACTCCAAAAGGGCTCGCTGCATGCGGGCTCGGATTTTACTTGCTTTCGGAGGGTAATGCAATGGGGGTTCTTGTCTTCTTCGTTCCATGGAACAGTTTAGAAGCTGCAGAAGTCGACCCGCTCATTCTCTATGATCTGATCTGGTCAAAAGTCGATATTTTCGATCGATATCGATCGGTGGCATGCTCCCGGTATGAATGTGCACTTTCACTGGAGCACACAATCAATACTGTGAATTTCATCCTCATTGGAGCCATCTGCGCAAAAACCGATATTTCG